TTTCACGAGGGACAGGCTTTCACTGGGTTGGGAAGGCAGTTCCAAAACAAACCCACCCTGACAGGAAGGGGCAACTGATTAGAGTTGTGAGCTGAAAGGGACCACTCATTGCTCAACTCTGTGCTGTTTCCCCAGTGAGTTTACAATTCAGGGGGACCATAAAAAGGAGGCTAGCTCACAACGCCATGGAAGTGACATGCACACCCATCCTGCCAGATTACACTAAAAACAAACACACTTCCTGATATCCCCAGCATCACATAACCAAGGCAGGAGAGCGCGCACTTTTAAGCCCAGCACTCAAGAAGCGCTGGCAGAAGGATCAGAAGTTCAAGGTCATGCTCTAGGAGATGGGTAAATAAACTGCGGAACAAATGGTTTTGAAAAACTTTCAAACACTGCACTGCTGTCTAGAAAAAAAGGTACTACGAAAGGAAGCAGACCCTTTTAGGGAGGAAGAAACCACTCCTAAGTGTGTACACACACGAGGCAGCAGGAGGGAGGCCGACACGAAATTTCTATTCTCACGAAAGTAGAGCGTCATTTAGGCTTTCCCTACAAGACAGCTGCCCCAGGCTGGATTCAAAGTAACTAAACTACTTGGAGTCACAGAATCCCAAAGGTTTTGGTCATGCCTTAGAGAAGTTCACGTTGAAAGGTTGAAACAAGAAGTGAGGACACGGGCGAGGCAGACACAGCGTGAGCTCGGAGGGTGGAACCTAGCTCAGCTCGGAGGTCTGGGTCCCCGACAGGTGTCCAGGTGCGGTGTAGGGGGCTGACCCCGGTCTAGGAGGCTGCAGCTCCCAGGGGCAGGCTCCACAGTCTGTAGGTGGTTCTCGAAGGGTGACCGAGACCGGGCATGAGACCTAAAGGCACCACGGCAGGCCCGGAGCAGATCCGCCAGCCTGGGGGTCTCCCCGAGGGCGCAGTGCGGGCCGCCCCGGTGGCGGGGCTGGTGTGGAGGCGCTGCCTGGTCCAGACGGGCGGCTTCCCGGGCCTCCCCCAGCACGGCCCAGACTGGCCGTGAGTCTGGACATCCCGCCGGCCGCAGGCGCTCGGCTCCAGGCCCCAGACTCACCGCGCGGCTTCGGCCACCGCCTCAGCTGCTGCCGCCTGAGCCGGTACCGCCGCTTCAGGCCCCCAGTCCCACCACCCGCCTTCCCCGCTGTCCTCTGGGCCAGGGAGGGGAAGGCGGGCTCGGAAGCCCGACAGCCAATCAGCTGGCTGAGAACGAAGATGGGCAGGAACATTCACCAATACTCATGAAAAAGTGGAGCTTCGGGACCGGCTTCTGGCGGGGCGGGGATTGTTCAAATAGACAAAACACGCGGCCAGTGGCAAGCGAAAGAAGCTTAAGACTTTTCCGGAGAACCAATCAGTTGTGAGTTGATTTCGGTCACTTCCACGCACACATCCGGTGCGTCGCTACTACGGTTCCCCTCCGTGTGAGTTGTGACCGTGTGGCGGCCGTGTTTAGGGACCGCGCGTACCTATTGGAAGAGCTGGGTAGAAATTGGGGACCGCGCCCTACGTGATGCTGAGAAGGAGCCGAGTGTCTGACGCCCTCGAATGACTGCAGACGGCATACTATCTTGGGAACCGGTTTACTAGGAGACTCGTGCTTTCTCCTTTGTAAAATTTAATATGCATTTGAAAGTTTTTATTTTCTTCTCACTGCCCCCAGATTGCGTTACTTTTGAAAAGGTCATTCTTGAGAGACGATCACCAAGAAACTACTTTAAATGCAAGATTTTAAAGCAAAATCCTTTTTTTTAAAAAAAAATCTGTCAAACAGGCAATAGCCGGAGCTGTAAATGTAACTCAGTTGATTGACTGCTTGCCCAACAGGCATGAAAGTCGTGGTTTCAGTCCCCAGAACCACATAAAGGACACGCCTGTAACCCCAACACTCTAGGAGGTTGGAGGATCAGGAATTCAAGGTCGGGGCTAGAGAGAAGCCTCAGTGGCTAAGAGCATTGGCTGCCCTTCCAGGTAGCCTGCACTCGGTTGATGGCTCACAACTCCTTGTAACTCCGGTTCCAGGGGATCTGATGCCCTCCCTATACAGGGCTCTGCCAGCATCAGGCACACACAGGTGCATAGACGTACACGCAGGTAAAACACCAATATAAAAAAATTTAAAAATTCAAATGAAATTTATGCACATCTTGTGTAATTTTTATTTTTATATCAGTTGTGATAGACATTGAAAATTCCTAAATAGCTTGAATTGGGAATTTGAATAAAATATTAAATAAATTAGTATTAGGAGAAACGTGAAGCTATTAATAATGATAATGCAGATAAATATTTGCTAATAAGGTAAAGGTTCTCAATTAGGTTTTTAAAAGTTACGTTTTAAAGTTAAGAAGCAAAAAGGAAAATTCCAAAGTACAAATTATACTACAGTAGTACCTTTTATAAAACATTGATACATTTCTTAGGTATTAAATTGGAGAAATGCTGATGGGCCTGGTGGCCCATGCCTTTAATTCCAGCACTCTGGAGACAGAGACAGGCGTATGTCTGTGAGTTCAGGATAGCCAAGGCTGTTACACAGAGAAACCCTGTCTCAAAAACAACCACCAAAACAAATAAATAAATTGAGATGCCAATAAAATGTAATAAGATCTGTGGAAGACATACTTTCTTTTCTTATTTTGGGGGAGGGGTTCAAGACAGGGTTTCTCTGTGTAACAGCCCTGACTGTCCTGGAACTTGCTTTCATAGTGTAGTCCAGGCTGGCCTTGAACTCACAGAGATTCACCTGCCTTTTACCTCCCAAATGCTGGGATTAAAGACCTGTGCCAGCACTGCCCATCAAAAGACATACTTTCTTTAGATATTATAGAAAAAAAATCTCAAAAAACTCCATGTGGTCATGTAATTAAGTAGATGTAGGTCGTGACTTGGGGCAGATCGGGCTCCAGGAAACAGACTAAAAGCAGCAATCGGCTCTTACAGCAAATGGAAACTTATTTTTAACAATGCAACATAAGGCCTCCTACCTTCAAAATGGAGTCAGGCAGGGTCCTCAACCCTGTCTCAAATATCTGTATCTACATCTATCTATCTATCTATCTATCTATCTATCATCTATCTATCTATCATCTATCTATCTATCTATCATCTATCTATCATCTATCTATCTATCAATCATTATCTATCAATCATCTATTTATCTGTAACATTTCTCTAGTTTAATACATAAGAAATGTAACAATGTTTTATAATTTAAAAATATTTTTTAACTATTTGAGAGCTTTTTCCTTATTTACAAATACACACCTGTAATCCGGGCACCTGGGCAACTGAAGCAGAGGGATCTTGAGTTCCAGGCTATATTTGATGCTGTGTCAAAAAGTAAGAGAGGGCCAGCAAGATGATCCGGGATAAAGGCATTTGCCACCAAACCCAAAGACCTGAGGTCAAATCCCAGAACCCACAAGGTGGATGGAGAGAACTTAACCCTGCAAGTTGTCATGTGACCTAGAACAGTGCATCATCCCATAAATAAACATATGAAAAAAATAACATTAATTTAAAGTATAAAATAAATATTTGAAAAGGATAAATAACATTAATTTAAAGAAGAAAATGTGAAATAAGGAGTGGAGATGGCCATTGGCCGAGGACGGGCTGCTCTTCCAGAGCACTCGGGTTCAGTTCCCATATCAGGTAGCTCACAACAGCCTGCAAACTGTAGGACTGGGATGTAGTTCAGGCGGTAGTTTATCTGCCTAGGGGGTAGAATCCTTAGCACCACCTAAAACCAAGTGTGTGGGTGAGTGTTTATAATCTCAGCACTTGGTGTCAGATCAGAATTTCAAGGGCATTGTGGTCTACATTACTGGTTCCAGGCCAGTCTGGGCTACACAGGCCCTTGTAGTTTTATTGTTGGATTTTATGTGAATCTGTGTTTTGCCTGCATGTATACTACTGTGATCTTCCTGCATGTATGCACACCATATGTGTGCCTAGTGCCCTTAGAGGCCAGAAGAGGGCACCAGATGCCCTGGAACTGACTGGATTTAGAGGTGGTTATAGTTGCCTTCTGGGTGCTGGGAATTGAACTCAGGTCCTCAGGAAGGGAAGCCACTCCTTTTTAACCACCGAACCATCTCTCCAGTTCTTTTTCCAAATGAAGAAAGAAATAAAAACCCAGTCTATTGTGTAGGTCTTTGCATCTTAGTACACAGCAAACTTCCTCGTTCTTTTTTCTTATAGCTATACATATATAATCCATAACATTTCACCGTATTATCTTTTCCTGGCTCTCTGTTTATAAACACTTACTTTTTCTTCTTTTTTTTTTTAAATATTTATTTATTATGTATACAATGTTCTGTCTGTGTGTATGCCTGAAGGCCAGAAGAGGGCACCAGACCTCATTACAGATGGTTGTGAGCCACCATGTGGTCGCTGGGAATTGAACTCAGGACCTCTGGAAGAGCAGGCAATGCTCTTAACCGATGAGCCATTTCTCCAGCCCCCTTACTTTTTCTTCTTTTCTTTCTCTCCTTCCTTTTCGTTTGGTGTTCCGTTTTTCTCCTTTCCCCTTCCCTTCCCTCTTCCCTCTTTCCTTTCTCCTTTTTCTTCTTTAATATAGGATCTCATGCAGCTTGGGTTGGCCTTGAACTCATTATATAATAAGGGATGTCCTTGAATTTGCTTCCTGCCATCATCTTCCAAGTGCTAGGATGATCACAGAGGTGCACCACCAGGCCCAGCTTGCACAGAGCATTTTCAACGTAGGATTTATTGGGGTAACCATCCCCATCACAATGAGTCTTATTTCAGTAAGCGAACCGGCCCAATACATCGCAAAGCGACATGCCCTGAAATCCTTGGGGTGCTAACCGGATCATTTTCTGGTGACTCTTGCTTTTAGTTTATTTGTTGAACCCCGGCTCTGGGCTTTGACCACGCCCCCCGCCGGCCTTCTTCCGGCCCTTCTAGTCCCGGGCCTGGGTTTCCCGGCCGGCCTCTTGAGGCCGGTGCACAAGATGGCGGCGCCGGTGGCCCGCTGGAGGCCGCGGGCTGTGGCTGGTTGTTAAGTTGTGGTGCGGGACAGGGAACCACACAGGCCTCGCTCAGGTGACAGGTGGTTGGGGCAGTGCCGCCGACCCCGTTGGGGTGCATGGCCTGCTCTCTGCTGTCCCATGTTTATACCGCCCCCCAAACCCTGTCCCGGGGCGGAACTAAAGAAAGGTCAGGTCAGGCTGCCCAGCCTATCTTCGTCCTGGGGCGGTCCCCGTGAGTGGCTCCCTTTTAGAATTGACTTTAGCCACGTGTCACTTCCATGGCTGCGTTGCAGGCCCCGGGGGAGAAGATTAATATCCAGGCAGGAGAGACGACCAAGGTCGGGGACAGGGACCCCCTGGGGGACGACTGGCCCGAGCAGGACAGCCTTCCACCGCGTTCCTGGAGACAGAAGTGCGCCTCTTATGTGTTGGCCCTGAGGCCCTGGAGCTTCAGTGCCTCACTCACCCCTGTGGCCCTGGGCAGTGCCTTGGCCTACAGATCCCAGGGTATCCTGGATCCCAGGCTCTTGGTGGGCTGCGCAGTGGCTGTCCTGGCTGTGCACGGGGCCGGCAATTTGGTCAACACTTACTATGACTTTTCCAAGGGCATTGACCACAAAAAGAGTGACGACAGGACTCTGGTGGATCGAATCTTGGAGCCCCAGGATGTTGTTCGGTTTGGAGTCTTCCTCTACACCCTGGGTTGTGTCTGTGCCGCTTGCCTCTACTGCCTGTCCACTCTGAAACTGGAGCACTTGGCTCTCATCTACTTTGGAGGCCTGTCGAGCTCTTTTCTCTACACGGGAGGTAAGAATTGACCTGTTTCCTGCTCTAAGGTCTCAGTTGCCTGAACTGGAAACTGTTCCTTTACACAGGAACTGTAGAAGTGTCAAAGACGCCTGACTAACTTAGACGACTTGACTGGAAATCCAAAGTTTGTGTGCCGTGGCTACTTTGGAAACTTTAAGTTGTGAAGACCTTGGTTCGGCAGTGGATTATGAACATTACCAGCTGGAGACATGGCTTAACCTGTAAGATGTCTTACTTTGGGGCTGGAGAGATGGCTCTGTGGTTAAGAGCACTGGCTGCTCTTCCAAAGATCCACATGGTGTCTCACAACCATCTACAATGGGATCGGTCTGTCCTCTTTTGGCATGCAGGCATATATTCATACGGAGCACTCATGTACGTAAAATACATAAATAAACCTTGTAGGGGAAATACATGATCACAAAATAGCCCTCCTAGAGTGAGTCTTAATCATTGCATCCAGATGTGCTGAGCTGACCCCTGCAATTTCCCCAAATGCAGGAAACTCGATTGCATTAAAAAAAAAAAAGGAAAAAGAAGAGAGAGGGAGAGAGAGAGAGAGAGAGAGAGATCTTATTGTTCTTGCAGAGGACCCATGTTCAGTTCCCAGCACCCATGTTGAGCCCCTCACAGACACACTTGATTTCAGCTCCAGGGGATCCAACACCCTCTTGGGGCCTCAGTGCACATGCACACAAAGAAACACACACATATAACAACATAATGTGGGCTGGCAAAATGGCTCAGTAGATAAAGGCTCCTACCACCAAGCCTGATGCTTGAGTATGATCTCCAGGACCCACGAGGTAGAAGGAGAGGACCCAACTTCCAAAAGCTGTCTTCAGACCTCTCTCACACATGTGTACACACTCAACTTAGAAAAAGTTTAGCTCAGAAACCAGGCAGTAGTGGCTCACACCTTTAATCCCAGCACTCGGCAGGCGGAGGCAGGCAGATCTCTGTGAGTTTAAGGCCAGCCTGTTCTACAAGAGCTAGTTCCAGGACAGGCTCCAAAGCTACACAGAGAAACCCTGTCTCGAAAAACCAAAAAAAAAAAAAAAAAAAGAAAAAAGAAAAGAAGAAGTTTAGCTCGTAATCAGAAAGCATGGTAATAACTATGTAGACCATTAACAGGCATTTAATTTAATAACTACATAGACTATTAACAAAGGCGTTTAATTTTTTTTGTCATCTTCCCTTTTAATCTCTAGGAACCTTTGTGTATCTGGTCCATCACTAACTGTCGTGTGATGCAGTGGATAACTGGGTATAAGAGGTGCTAAGTGCTATGGTGGCAGGACACAGAAGAGGACAATGAAGACAATTTTAAGTAGTTCGATTGACATGGGCCTCACTAAGGAGATAACACCTGAACTAGATTGAAGGCAGTGAGAGATGATAGGGTTGGCGTGTCGATGTCTGGAGTAGGACTCTAGGTATGCGGGGCAGCAAGTGCCAAAGTCCCTGATGACTTTGAGGAAGAGGAAACCCACTGTGTGCGCGAGGGACGCAGTCCAGGAAGCTAGGCGAAGAGGGGTGTGTCTGGGGAGAGGTGGGAGGCATGCAGACTGCATAGGCATTTTCCCCCCTTTGGCCTCTTGCACTTTAAAGTACAGGGGACATTGCAGGACTTTGGATAGGGGTGTGATGTCATGGCTCAAAAGAGTCTCTCTGGCTATGGTATTGTGGATGGATAAGTAGGGTGGGCAAGGGTAGAAGAACAAAGACCAGGTCAGAGGCCCTTGAGCAGTTCAGGCAAGATGTTTGGTGACTTGCATCAGGGTGGTGGCCACAGAGAGGTGAGGCAGGTTCTGAGCAGACGTTGGAGGTAGACATTGTTTGCCAGTGGATTGGTTCTTAGGTAGAAATGCCACAGAGTTAAGTTTGACTCAGAAGGTTCGGCCTGTGCCACCAGAAGGGCACAGTTGATATTGTCATGCCAGATGGGAGAAAGGCAAGGCTAGAATTGGTTTTTGAAGGGAAGAAGTTGGGATTGACTTTGGACATCTTATGCTAGAGCTCCAAGTGGAGATGTGAGGTGGATAGTTGGTTAATGGAGAGGCCTGGGCTAGAGAGACAGGTCAGGGGGCCACTGGCCCATAGATAAAGTTGTAGAGTTGGTGGGAAAGCACAGAGGAGAAGTTCTGGGCCCTATAGCCCTCCAGCCTAAGAGGAGGGGAAGATGAGGACCATATAAAGGAGATGGAAGGAGTGGAAGGAAATCAAGAGACTGTAGTTGCCCTGTAGCCTGTTGTAAATGTAGGGCAATTAAAAAAGTCTGAGGCAGCCGGGCGGTGGTGGCGCACGCCTTTAATCCCAGAGGCAGAGGCAGGAGGATCTCTGTGAGTTCGAGGCCAGCCTGGTCTAGAAGAGCTAGTTCCAGGACAGGAACCAAAAAAAAGCTACGGAGAAACCCTGTCTCAAAAAATCCAAAAAAAAAAAAGAAGGCAAAGGCAGGCAGGTCTCTGAGTTCAAAGCCAGTCTGGTCTACATAGTGAGTTTCAGGCAAGTCTCTCTCTCTACACACACACACACACACACACACACACACAGGCAAGTCTCTCTCTCTCTCTACACACACACACACACACACACACACACACACACACACACACGATTTGATGAGGGAAACCCGTAGGACCCTGGTAGAAAGTGTAAGGTGGTGTTCTGCTGGTCAGCTTTCTGCTACTATAACAGAATGCCTGAGTTATTTGACTTAAAATGAGGAAAGACTTACTTAGTTTTAGGCTCCAGTTTATGGTTGGCTGGCCTATGGTGTTTTTTTGGTTTTTTTTTTTTTTTTTTTTATTTTTGGTTTTTTGAGACAGAGTTTCTCTTTGGCTTTGGAGCCTGTCCTGGAACTAGCTCTGTAGACCAGGCTGGTCTCAAACTCACAGAGATCTGCCTGCCTCTGCCTCCCGAGTGCTGGGATTAAAGGCGTGCGCCACCATCGCCCGGCTTGGCCTATGGTGTTTTGGTCTTTGACAAGATAGTACATGTGGCGGGAATCCATACTGAGGAAGTCCATTTGGCTTGGGTCTGGTAGTGAATAGAGAAAGAAGAGTGGGCTAGACCCAGGCCCCAGTGTCCCCTTCAAGTACACACCCCCACATGATTGGAAAGCCTCCTACGAAGACTCCACTCCTCTTAGAAATTCTACCACTGGGACGACTTAGCATTCAGAGTGCTTGCGGGTCTTGTAGAAGACCCAGGTTTGACTCCCAGCACCACATGGGCACTGCCAACTGCCTATGTAACTCCAGCTCCACAGGACCGATCGTCCTCTGCTGGTCTCCACAGGCCCCTGCATGTGTGTGCTATCCACTCACACAGGCGCATACACATTTTTAATAAAGACAGATGTTAAAGATAAAATATTCCACCAGCCCAGCGACTAACTCTTCAGCACACAGCTCTTGGGAATTCTTGAAACCGTGGCATTCTCTTCATTTTAGAGACATTTTAACCAGGACATGGAGGAGACAGAATTGGCCCTGGGTTAGAATTAGAATCTGGTTGCAGTGCTGAGTCAGGGCTGATGGGCCAGAAGTACAAAGGTCTCTTCCCAGTACTCCTAACCACTGAGACATCTCTCCAGCCCCGTAGATTTTCTTTTTATAATCTCTCCCGCCTGTCCAAGACAAAGTTTCTCCTGGAACTCTGTAATTCAGACTGGCCTTGAACTCAGAGATCTGCCCGTCTCAGAATGCTGGGATTACAGGTGTGTACCACCACTGCCCATCTGTAGATTTCCTTTTAACATTGGCCTTTATTGGTAGAGAATTGACATGCAGTGAAGTGTGTTTGTTTGGTGAACCTTGATGAACACGAGCAGCTGTGTAGTCCTTGCCTCTCCATCACCCCTATCGCTTCCTTGGGCTCTTCTCCCAGCCCCATCCTTCCTCGTCTATGCGCAGGTAACTACTCTTCTAGTTCCTTTCACTCAGGTTAGTTGTGTGGTCTAGAGTGCCGTGTGCAGGGACCCATTCCACATGGATCGCGTGTGACTTTGTTTATTGCAGTATGAACTCTGTTTTTGTTTGGGGGATTTTTTTGGTTTTGTTTTGCTTTTGTCTCTTTATGGTACTGGCTAGCTTGGAATACGCTATGTAAACCAGGCTGGCCTCCAACTCCCAGAGATCCTCCTGCCTGTGCATCCCGAGCGCTGAGATGAAAAGTGTGGGCTGCCATGTCTGACCTCCGTGTGAGCGCTTTGAGTCTGGCCTCCTTTGCCCAGTGTGATGGTTTTGAAGCTCACCATGTTGTCACTCATGTCAGCAGCTCCTTGTTATTATTGAGCAGCATCTGTTGAGAGACAGCCACACTGTGTTCTGCTCCCCTGTTCAGGGACCTTGGGGTTGTGTCTCTTTTTTCTATTGTGACTGAGCATTCATGTTCAAGTCTTTTTATGAGCATTTGTTTTCATTTCTCTTGAGTAAATGCCTGGAAATGAAACTGCCGTGGCCTCCACTGGGTGCCGTTTAATTCTACAAAGAGCTGCTAACCCAAGAAGAAGCACTTGTACTGCTCATATTCCCACAGCCCACAGCGGCATGAGACTTCAGTGGCTCTGCACCTTTGCCAGCTTCCTCCCTGAGTTAGCTTCTTTGTGTGTAGCAGGGCTGGCTAGAAACTCTTGCTCCTCCTGACTCTGTCTTGCAAGCGCTAGTATTGCAGGCATGCACTGCCACCTGGCCAACTTTTGATCTCTGTGAGTTCGAGGCCAGCCTGGTTTAACAGATTAATTCTGGCTGCTAAGCAGAGAATGGTCCCAGTATTTCACTGTGCTGTTTCCTTCAGAACATGGTGTCTGAAGGGGTGGGAATGCTTGAGAAGAGACTCCCATGTGGGTCGCATCTCTGAGTCAGGAGAGTTCGGGCCATGTCTTACACTTAGTTCTCTCTCCAGAAGCTCTGTCATTTTCTTCCACCAGATAAACTCAAGACTAAAACCTTTCTTCTCCTTGAGTGGCTTTAGGGGAAGACCTGCGTAAGGGGGACCCAGGTTTCTGTTGTGATTTTGTTTTGTTTTGTTTTTGTTTGTTTGGTTTTTCTTTTTCTTTTTTTTTTTTTTTCGAGACAGGGTTTCTCTGTGGTTTTGGAGCCTGTCCTGGAACTAGCTCTTGTAGGCCAGGCTGGTCTCGAACTCACAGAGATCCGCCTGCCTCTGCCTCCCGAGTGCTGGGATTAAAGGCGTGCGCCACCACCGCCCGGCTTGTTTGGTTTTTCAAGACGAGGTTTCTGTAGCTTTGAAGCCTGTCCTGGAATTAGCTCTTCTAGACCAGGCTGGCCTTGAACTCACAGAGATCTTCCTACCTCTGCTGGGATTAAAGGCGTGTGCCACCACCACCCATTTTGTTTGTTTGCTTTGTTTTGAAGCTTGAGTATAGTTCTGTTAGAGTCAAAGCAAGCTGCACATCTCTAGCTGCTGGGAAGAGGGAGATGGAAAAGAGAAAGAAGAAAGCCATGCCTTTTGCAGTGGAGGTAGGCAAACAGCCATGTAGTGGAAGTGAGGGGCTTCAGGAAGGAGTGGCCGGGAAGCATGCTCATGGCTGAGGGTCCATAGGAAGCTGAGTCACTTTTTGCTTGCTGATCTGAGGAAGGAGGGGTCTTTGGATCATCCAGCCAGAGGTTACATCTTCCCCATCCGGTGTCCTGTTGTGGTGTGTGGGTCAGCGAATGTAAGAGAAAGTAGGGGAGCATCACGCTAGCTTAGCCTGAGGGAGGCTTCCTGAATACGTGCAGTATGTGGGGAACATGGGCTGCTGTTCCTCTTGCAGGCACTTCCTCCTGGGCACATGTCCTCAGATAACCAAGTTATCGACACACAGTGTGGCTGTGTGGAATCAGCTTTCTGGTGCTGGGAAACTGAGGGCTCATGCCTGTGATGCCTTGTGGGAGTGCTGCACTTTAAAAACCAGGGGTGCTCACTTGGAGCCAGCAGACCCATTACTTCTGTGAAGGTGAAGTTGGCCAGATCTTGGTCCTTAGTTCCTATGGTTTTAGATCCCCTGAAGACCATTGTCATCTGTTATCTCCCACCCCCCATTTTAGTTTTTTGAGACAGGATTTCTCTGTTTAGCTTTGGAGTCTATCTTGGAACTCATGCTGTAGACCAGGCTAGCCTTGAACTCACAGAAATCTGCCTGCCTCTGCCTCCCGAGTGCTAGGAGTGAAGGCGTGCGCCACCACTGCCCGGCATGTCATCTCTTATTTTAGACTGGGTAAAATATAATCAGATACTCTGAGGCCTGCCTTATAGCATCACCAGATCCAAAGGCTTCCCTGTTACTGTAGCAACCAAAGTTTGGATGCTAATGCCCATCTCCCACCATTGCACGTGACTTTACTGTTTCAGATTGAGTGGGAAATATTCTTGACCTCCTGACCTCGGTTCCAGGTTGAAGGAAGTGTTTGTTACTGTAGCTCTGTGCCAAATACTCCCAGTGGGAGCCAAGTCTGGCAAGCCAGATGCTGGGACTTTGATTCCAAAGACACAGGGTTGTTGAGGGTTTGAGGGTGTGTGGGAAGGGCAATCCCAGAGTTCTAAAGGAACACTGGAATGGGATGGGAGGTTCATACGAGATCAAAGGCCACCTAGGAAGAATTGTAGTATTCCAGAGTAAGGTGACCCTGATTTGGACTTAGGATGTCGTGTGGTGCTGGAGATGGAGGGAGGAGGCTGGAAAGGAGTTACAGGCAGGCCTAGGAGCAGAACGGTCGCTAGGAATGGCTTGGTTTTGAAGGAAACCACAGGGGGGGCAGTGCACGATAACTGCACTGGTTTCCTCCTATGAGTGACGGTGTCCTTATATGGAAGTGTGTAGCTTGTGAAATGCCATGGCGTTCAGTGGGGTCTTTTAAGAAAGACTAGAGGGGAAGGAGGCAGGATGGACATTCTGCCTTCCGGGGCTGGAGAAGGCAGAAGAACTTTATGGTCTAATAGTGGATCATCAAGCCTTTTGCATGTTCTTGGACTTGTATCATCTCTGCGTACTGGGAGTTCAGGGCACTTTGTAGCAGAAACTGGTTTGGGGGATAAAACCTAAAGGGTAAACTTGGCAAGTACCTGGCAGTTGAGCTCAGAGACCTGAGTCTGTACTGGGTCATTTATTGGGGTACCCCAATGATTGCATACCATCACAGCCTCTCACCAGACACAGCCATTTCTTGGACAGCCTTTGGTTCACACTGCATCTCTGGCTTTTCTGTCTGCAGGAATTGGATTCAAGTATGTGGCACTGGGAGACCTCATCATCCTTATCACTTTCGGCCCCCTGGCTGTGATGTTCGCCTACGCTGTCCAGGTGGGGTCCTTGGCCATCTTCCCTCTAGTCTATGCCATCCCTCTGGCCCTCAGCACGGAGGCCATTCTCCATTCCAACAACACCAGGGACATGGAGTCTGACCAGGAGGCCGGCATTGTCACTCTGGCCATCCTCATCGGGCCCACCCTCTCCTACGTGCTCTACACCACGCTGCTCTTTCTGCCCTACCTGATCTTCAGCATCCTGGCCACGCACTGCAGCATCAGCCTGGCGCTGCCCCTGCTCACCATCCCTGTGGCCTTCTCCCTTGAGAGGCAGTTCCGCAGCCAGGCTTTCAACAAGCTACCCCAGAGGACAGCCAAGCTCAACCTCCTTCTGGGGCTTTTCTACGTCTTTGGCATCATCCTGGCACCGGCAGGCAGTCTGCCCAGACTCTGAGGCGACTGTTAGCTTCCTCCACAGCACAGCCCCTCCTTAGGATGTGCAGAAGCCAGAGACTGAGAAGGGGTGCAGCTGGCCAGGGTGGGTGCCCAGCATGGGCTGCCAGCTCCCACCCTTGTGTGTTAGGATTATCTTCGTCAGGATAATCTGTTGTGGTTTGTTTGCCATGTTATGGGGAGCCCTGAAACCACTCTAGTGTCCGAGGATGAATTGAACATACTGTCCTGCTGTTGTTTATAATCCCCACTAGAGGGCGTTGTCAGGCCACTTTAGGATGGGAGGCCCATCTTGCTTGTTCTGAACAGAATGCCCTAACAATTCATGAAGGATCTGTGTCCCAGAAGATCCGCAGTGACAAAGCACAGTACTGCCCTGTTACCTTGGCACACAGGAAATGGTAATAATTGGTGCCAGGTCCCATTAACATGGAACACCTGTCCCCTGAATGTGCTGCTTGCTAGAGAGAAAGCCCCTCATTAACAACCATGTGGCTCCCGGCTTTTTGCCTAGGTGGTGGGTGCTTTCGACATTTCTGTCCTTCATCTCTCCTTTCACTCAACGCCACTGGTGAGGAAAATGCCAGCTCACCCTGCAGCAAGACAGTCAAGCCTGGGGCGGCTGAGGAAAGCCCTCTGCTTTCAGTAAAACTCGTCAGGGTGGGGGTGGGGGCTGCTTCCCTCTGTAGAATCCACTAGGATGGGGCTGGAGAGATGGCTCAGTGGTTAAGAGCATTGCCTGCTCTTCCAAAGGTCCTGAGTTCAATTCCCAGCAACCACATGGTGGCTCACAACATCTTTAAGGAGGTCTGGTGCCCTCTTCTGGCCTGCAGACAGAATATTGTATACACAATAAATAAATATTTAAAAAAAAAAAAAAAGAATCCACTAGGACCCGAAGTGGTAGTGGGATGCACATTTAAAGCCCACAGGCCGGTCTCCTCCCGGTTGTCTCCCCTGGTACCTCTCTTTCTCCCCTGCATCTCTGTCTGTCTTTCCATCTGTTTCCAAGTCCCCAGACTGAGGGCAACAGTAACACATGAGTCAGGGACATTTGTCCCCATCCACAGAGCCTCAGGAGCCTGTTGAACGTACAAGCCAATGGATAGCAGTCCTGGCCCCACTCACCAGAGTGGGAAGCCTGGCCAGTGAAAGAACTATGAAATATGGGCCCCTCCTCTCCCTGACCTGTCGCCATGCTCAGACGGGGTGGTTTCAGTGAGGTCTCATCCGAGGGACCAGTGGTGTCTCACCCCCTCCTCTTGGACACTTGGAGCGTAATGTCTGCACTGAGGTTGCCCTCTCACACTGAGATGATCACGTCCTCATTGTGATCAGTTGTCCTGGAGGGCACTGCAGCTTAGCCTGCAGAAAATGACCTTGAGTTAGCACTGGGTCACTTCCTTAGGAAAAAATATGTTTAAAAGTTGCCCTGAGTTCCTTTGTAGTCAGGATGGTTTGTCTAAAAGAGAACCGGTGTCTGTCCCTGAGCTTGGAAGAAATCCAGAAATCTTAGACAGGGGCGCTCCTTTCCTGTTCTTCCCAGCATGCCAGGTTTGTGGCATTTGGTGCCTTTGAGGGCCTTGCCTTTGGAGAAGCACCTAGGACCCCTGCTGGGAGCTGACCAGTCACCCGCAGGACCAGTTATAGTAAGGAGCAGCAGGGCTGCGTCCCGCCACCTGGTTGCCTGTACGGCTAGCTTTACCCGAAATAATTATACGGAAACTATTTTTTTGAACACTGTCTGGCCCATTAGTTTTAGCCTTTTATTGGCTAGCTTTTACATATTGGTCTAACCCATTTTTAATAATCTGTGTAGCCCACGAGGTGGCTTACTAGGAAAGATCTTAACCTATGTTTGTCTGGAGCAGGAGAATCATGGTGACTCTCTGATTCAGCTTCTTTCTCCCAGCATTCTGTTTTGTTTACTCCGCCCACCTAAGGGTTGGCCTATCAAATGGGCCATAGGCAGTTTTTTTATTAATTAACCAATGAAAGCAACAGATTAAAAAAAATCACTCCCACAACCAGTGGCTTTCACGGTCCAGGCCTGACACGGCTGCCCCCATCAGAACTGTGTTCGCTGCTGCACCATGCTCTGGACACATTTTAATGTCTATTTTTATATATGATCCCAGAGGCCATATTTAGTGCCACGTTTTATATACAGGCCACCATAATTGATATCATGTCTCCTGATTTAATGAAGGTTTCCTGTAGATTTGTTAATTAAAATATGAGAAAACGTCCATCAGTGGCTTCATGTGTCTTTGCTTCCCTTCTGATTCACTTACTGTGGGAATGTGCAGAGATCTCAGAGGGCCAGGCACAGTGGCACACGCATTGAATTCCTGCACTTGGGAGACAGGCTGGGGGATCTCTGGGAGTTTGAGGCCAGCCAGGGACACACAGTGAGACCCTGTCTCCAAAACAAATCTCATTGCAGGCCTTTGGGACAGTGCAGTGTGGTAGGGGCACTCATTACCAGCGATGAATCTGGGTACTGTTTGCACAGCGTTGATGGGCTATGTTGGCTGGTCTCGTGTCAGTTTGATACAAGCTAGAGTCACTAGAAAGAACCTTAATTGAGAGAGTGCCTCTGTAGGCCTGGGCTGTGGGCAAGCACGAAGGGCATTTTCTTAGTGATTGATGTGGGAGGGCCCAGCCTGTGATGGGTGATGTCATCACTGGGTGGTAGTCCTGGGTTTTATAAAAAAGCAGGCTGAGCAAGCCATGGGGAGCAAACCAATAAGCAGCACCCCTCCATGGCATGACCTCTGCATCAGCTCCAGCCTTCAGCTCCCTGCCCTATTTAGGTCCTCTCTTGTCTTCTAGTGATGAACAGTGATGTGGAAGTGTAAGCCAAGTGAATCCTTTCCTCCCCCACAAGTTGCTGGTGTTATCCCAGCAGTAGTAACCCTGCTTTAGGAAAGGTGGTAGGGACCATTCAGAGCCAGCTAGCCAGACCGCATTAACCTCATTTCCCTCTATCCTTCCCTACTTACATTTTTCTGCTGCTAGGTCACCACGCTGATGGATTAGGAGCAGGTAGTAGATGGAGTGAGTTTACGTTTTGGCTAGGCGTTTGGCAATATATCCTTATGAACGAGGCAGAGATATGTGGGATGGATATCACTGTAGCTAGATAAATTCCTGAGGCTGAACGCACCGTGGGAGACAGCTGACTGATCAGTGTGTCAGCAGCAGCAGGGAAGGCAGCCTTCAACGGCACGTTCGAGTGAGCCCTGCCTTCTGCCCTTTGCCCAGCTAGATTCAACACCTGCTATTAGCAACCGGAGTAAGGCAGCTGGGATGGGAGCTCTCAGGAGCCCAGGAGGAAGGGCTTCTGGAGGGGCTGGTAATTAGGGGGCTCCGGAATTAGATGGGTCAAGAGAACAGTGAGCGTTAATAAATGCAGAGAGAGCTGTCGGGTCTCCCAGACCGCGGCCTGTGATTGGGAAGGAGCTGACCTGTGACAGGAGAGCGATGTGCCTGTGGGTGTTTTATGAATGACGCTAGGCTGATGGTCACACGCCTCTACCGTCTGAGTCAGATTTTTCCTGCTTACCCAGTGACTAGCAGGGAATCGCACTCCAGGCACCTCAGGCTTTTCCCATTCCCATCGGGTTGGTCACTGGGATCCCCCCAGTCTCCTGGGGACCAGAAGTCAGGGATTTTAGGTCGGCCTTTGGTCCTCCCATTCACCAGCCGTAAGGTCATTTCTGCTGCCTGGTGCTGGGCTTCAGGCCTGGAATTCACTCTGCTTCTCTCAATGGGTTCTGGAAACCGCTTCCTGCTGACAGGTACCATGGGCCTGTGGGGCACACCCTGCCACCCCATACCCATTTCTGCCCTGGCTCGGCGAACTATCCTTTCTGTGGTCTCTGTGCACCTCTGCTGCTCAGAGCTGCCCTCCTTCCATGCCGTTGCTGAACCTTTGCACAGTGTCCTGCCTAGAAGACCTTGGAAGCTTGGGGCTGGCCTGCTCTGGGGCTAGAGGGACTGATTTACGAATCCAATGTTTGCTGTTTTACTTTCTGCCACTTCTGCATTAATAACCAGACCCACACCCGGGATCTGGCCCTAAGCTCAGACTGAGACAGTGATGACCTTGGCGAAGGTTACTGTGGTCCACGAGATGAATGGGAGAACAAGGAGGCAGTGCCTGCTCATCCCCGCATTGGGCCTGAACCTGCAAGCCTTGTTCGCCATGGAAAGAGTCAACGTGGAGCCAGATCAAGGACGTATCATAGAGCGATGCACGCGGACTTCAGAGAAGCCGTTGACAGGATGTGGAAAGCAGAGTGAAGATAGGGTTGGGAGCCAACTTCATTTTTAGGTGAGCGTGTGTGTGTGTGTATGTGTGTGTGTGTGTGTGTGTGTGTGTGTGTGTGATGGGTAACAGCTGCAGCAGAGATTTTCCTTTTTCCCAGCGTGGGAACCATATTTTGAAGGTGTTATTAACAAACTGGATCTTGTCCAAGAAGCATTTGGAAGAAGGGTGAGGACATGTAAAACCACGTTAGCCTGGAGACCCAAAAGGACGCTGTCTTGGGGGAAGAGTGATTGGGCTGGGTACGTTGTGTTCAAAGAGGACAACCGGGGCATGCAGATGGGACGTTTCAGCTCTGGTGTTGAAAAGAACTTCTCGGGGTCTGGAGAGATGGTTCAGAGGTTAAGAGCCACTGGCTGCTCTTCCAGAGGTCCTGAGTTCAATTCCCAGCAACCACATGGTGGCTCACAACCATCTGTAATGAGATCTGGTGTCCTCTTCTGGCGTGCGGGCATACATGGAGGCAGAACGTTGTATACATAATAAATAAATAAATAAATAAATCTTTAAAAAAAAAAAAGAAAGGAACTTCTCTAGCCATGAGTGGAAACACTGAGCGGGGCAGGTGCTCAGAGCATCCCAGCGGGTGCTGAGTTTCCCATAACTACAGGCATTCAAGGGAAAAAGCCATGACTTGTCTAGAAGACCGAGCTCAGAGTCACATCAGAGAGAGCTCGGATGAGACAACCGGGGTCCTCTGACCTGTGCTATGGTTATTCTGCTGGAGAGTTGCCTCCCAGACCTGCTCAGACCTGGCAGTTGGGAACAGAGGGAACCCAGGGTACAAGGGCCATTTGACATTTCAGCTTCTCAGTGCCCTCCCGGCTGTGTTGACTGATACTCCCGTCCTGTTTTGCTTGTCTTTGAAAAACTGCATGCAGACTCACATCCAAACCCATGTCCGTGCTGCTGGCTTCACTCTCAACGGCCTTGGAGGTGAGGCGGCTGACAGCTACTCTCTCTCCCGTGTGCCCACTACTAATGGACTGCCGGCCTCGTTCATTACTGGCTGCGGACCATGCAGGCTGATGTAAAAGCAATGCCTCTGGCAAGAGCCCGCACTTGCTCTCAGCCTGCTGACGTTTGTGCTTCCCTCCCGTGGTGAATGACCAAACCACGGCACCAAAGGGTGGTAAAGCCTGGTCAGGTTCTGCCTGAGGCCCTGGTGAGGGGCTGAGCCTGGCTCTTCGAGAGCTCACCAGAGCTCAGCAGAGGTAGGCAGCTGTAACCGGGAGACACTCTTGTGGTAATATTTTGTTTGTGATCTAACAAACAAAGCTTGCCTGAAGATCAGACTGCAGAGCTAAGCAATTTGTTAGCCATAGATGCAAACAAAGCTTGCCTGAAGATCAGACTGCAGAGCTAAGCAATTTGTTAGCCATAGATGCTAGACAGTGGTGGCACACACCTTTAATCCCAGCATTTGGGAGGCAGAGGCAGAAGGATCTCTGTGAGTTCGAGGTCACTCTGGGCTATGTGAGATTGAGTCCAGTCTAAAAGAGAAACAGAGGCAGGTGGTGCTGGCTCACACCTTTAATTCCAGTACTTGGGAGTCTCAGGTTTTCAATTCCAACTCTAGGAAGGTGGAGACAGGAAGGGATATGACTGGGCAGAGGAGTATAAGGCGGGAGGAGACAGGAAAGGATATGACGGGGCAGAGGAGTATAAGGCGGGAGGAGACTGGAAGGGATATGACTGGGCAGAGGAGTATAAGGCGGGAGGAGACAGGAGCTCAGGGCATCCATTCAGTCTGAGGAGCCCTAGAGATAGGATCGTGCATTCAGTCTGAGGACTTATAGAGACCTCATTGGATCTGAGGACTTCAAAGAGGAAAGAACTAGTGGCTGCTGCTCTGCTTCTCTGATCTTTCAGCTTTCACCCCCTAATATCTGACTCCAGGTTTTTATTATTAAGACCAATTAGATTCGTGTAGCACACTTTCTCCTACCAGCCCCGCCCTGCCCCCCAAGATGTAGATGTTCTAGAGGACCCAGTGAGTGTCTAGGTCACATGCTCCCCACCAAGCTGGGTGGAGAATAGAGGAAATTGATCTGGTCTCCGTGGGTGTGATTAAGGGCATGCCTCAAAGTTCATAATCAATGCTTCAGCCATAACCTTGCTTCTGCATTTTACAGTACAGTTAGAATCACCTCCATAGGTTTTCTGGTTTTCAGCCAGATTTTGTTTGTTTGTTTTGAGAAAGTGTTTCTCTGTGTAGCTTTGGAGACTTTGCTGGAATTCGCTCTGTAGATCAGACTGGCCTCTAACTCACAGAGATCCGCCTGCCTCTGCCTTCTGAGTGCTGGGATAAAGGTGTGCGCCACCACTGCCCGGCAAGAGTTATTCTCAGACAAGAAGAGAGAAACTGCTGAGTCAAGATCACACAGGAGCTAGCAATGAAGCTCAGATTCCTAGCCAAGCTGTGTGTGTAGCCTC